GGGTATCTTTTCTCAGTCACTTCCATCTTTATTTTTCGGGACAAATATCATGCTCCCTCACTCTCACCTCAGCATGGAATTCCTTAGCAGATGAAGAGACACATTATCTATAGCCACAGTGGCATGGCCACAGTCAGTGAGACCAAGAACAGTGTCTTCACTGAGATGGTTCTCAAGCCTGTGCTCAGAATTTCCCACTTGCCCCCAAAGTGCCTTTTGTAGCTGTTTTTGCAAATCTGAATGCAACAGAAAAGCACATGGTTGCTATGAGCCTTTTGTCTTTTTTCATTTATTATTCCTGCAGGTCAGCTGTCTTGGGGCCTGCCCCTGCTTCTGGAGTTGTCTGGTTATCTGCCACACGGTTGCATTCAACATTAAAACAAACACACAGAAATGCAGCGCCCTGTATCACGCTTCCCTCTCCATTCCACACACATGATATTGTGCACATATTTCTGATAGACAGACACACATTTGCTTTCTCTTCTCAATCCATTCACCCTTTTTCTTCCTTTTTTGATGTAGAAACAGTCTTATTTTAATATCAACCCCGGTTCCCTCTCCCTCCCATTCTCCCATGCCTCCCATCAATCCCTCCCACTTCCTATCCACTCCCCAGGGAGGGTGAGGCCTTCCATGGGGGATCATCAAAGTCTGTCACATCATTTGGGGCAGGGCCTAAGCCCTCCCCCCACTCATCCCCTTTCAAACAGTGATAATTAATGATAGCATTTTTCTAGGCACCATTTTAAGAAATGCTGATATACTGAAGTATTTATTAGTCATAATGACAATGAGATTGGTTATTACCGATAAAACAAGGCTTAGGTAAGGAAGCAATTCCCATGAAGCCAACAGGCTAGTAAGTGATGGGGCTGGGATCCAATACAGGATTCCCAGCCTAGAGCTGATGTTCTGTTTTCTCAAAAGTTTATTACCTTACAGAAAATTAAATCTCATTGTAGCACTTGTGGTGGTCTGAAAGAATGTGGCCCCCAAAGGGAGTGGCACTGTTAGGAGGTGTGGCCTTGGGGAATAGGTGTGGTCTTGTTGGAGGAAGTGTGTCGGGGTGTGGGGTGGGCTTTGAGGTCTCTCCTGCTCAAGCTTTGCTCAGTGTCTCACTGAGACCACTTCCTATCACCTTCTGATCAAGATGCAGCCAGCACTGTGTCTGCCTGCACACTGCCATGCTCCCTGACATGAAGATAATGGACTGAACCTTAGAAAGTGCCATCGAGCCACCCCGACTAAATGTTCTCCTTTATAGCTGCGGTCTTGGTGTCTTTTCACAGCAATAGAAACCCACACAAAACAGCATTTTTTAAAAGAATTTGTTTTGGTAGTTTCTTTTCTCCCTTTTCTTCCTCCTCCTGTCTCCCTTGGGTTCCCCCTGCATACCTAATTCTTTTCCACTTTCATGGTACAAGTGACTATCTGTGTCTTTCTGAGACTAGTTCACCTTACTTAATATGATCCTTTCCAGCTCCAGCAATTATTTCTGTAGGTTTCATGGCTTCATTTTTCTTAGCAGCTAAATCAAATTCCATTGTGCATGCATGCCATGCTTTGCTTCTCCAGTCATCAGTTGAGGGACAGCTAGGCTGGCGCCATTCCCCCGCTAGCATGAACAGGACAGCAGCAAGCATGGATGTGTGGGCATCTCTCTGGTAGGATGCGGTTTCTTTGGATAGACTCAGTGGTAATGGAGCAGAGTCACATGGTAGTTTTTTTTCCACTTTGAAAAACTTCCAGTCTAATTTCTGTAGTAGTTGATGGTTAACATTCTATCAGTAGTGAATAAAAGTCCATCTTCCTCCCCAGCCTCTCCAGGTAGATTTGTCAGTTTTCTTGATCACAGCTTGGGGTGAGATGGAATCTCAAAGGGCTTTTGAATTTTCCTGACACAAATGGCAGAACATTTTCTTTAAAAATCTGCAACCACACCAGGCACTAGTAGTGCTCACCTTTAACCCTCCACTTGGGAGGCAGAGGCAGGAGGAACTATGTGAGTTTGAGGCCAGCCTGGTCTACAGAGCAAGTTCCAGGAGAGCCAGGACTATACAGAGAAACCTTGTCTCAAACAAACAAACAAAAAAAGTTCAACAACATTTATCTATTTGAATGACTTTTTAAAATTAATTTATTTTTATTTTATGTGCATTGGTGTTTTGCCTGAATGTGTCTGTGTGAAGGCATTGGATCCTGGAGTTACAGACAGTTGTGAGCTGCCATGTGGATGCTGTGAATTGAACCTGGATCCTCTGGAAGAGCAGCCCATGTTCTTAACTGCTGAGCCATATCTCCAAGCCCTCGAGATAACTTTCTTAATCACAAAACTACAATTACAGAATAGATTTTGGAACATGATTTTTCTAGGCCATTTGTATACTATGGACACATCCCTTTTTAATCCCTTACTATAAACACTTCTAAACACAGAAAAGTTGGAAGAATTAGATGGTATTAACACCCATTTCTATACTTAATATTTTGGCTGTTGTCTTAGTTGGGGTTTCTATTTCTGTGAAGAGACACCATGACCATGGCACTTGTCCTTGAGAATAAGTGTTCCATACAGACTTACTGAGTGGCTGAGTGAAAAGTGTGATTACCGTCTACTAAACGGCTCTAATGCTGCTGTAGTCTGTGTCCAAGCCCTCCCCCTGCTCTCTGTGGTGGCTTCTATTGATCCTCCCCTTATTTTGAAAGGGTCTATCTCTGAATCTGGCTAGACTGGCATCCTAGCAGACCCTTGAGATCCCCTTGTCTCCAACCGGCTCTTGGGCTCTTCACTGGTCACCGGGGATTCAAACTCTGGTCTTCAAGCCTGCAGCAGGCACTTTACCCACTGAATCATCTTACCCAACCAATTTATTTTACTTCTTCTAGAAGAAGTTTGAATTGAAATTACATACATACCGGCTCCACAAGGATACCTGTAAGGAAACAATACTTAGAAATCCTCTTCAGCACTTGTAAATATGGAACTGAGCTTTCTGGAATCAGTCTTCCAAACACCTGAACGCTTGACTTGTTGACCCGGAATATTATTTGCTAAGCAAACACCAATTTCTTCCCTCCCCAGGCGGAGGAAACATGAAAAATAATGTTGAACAGCAAGACTTCAAAGACTAGTGAAGACTTGGTTCCTAGGTCAAAGGCTGTTGTAAGAACTACTATTCTCCGGTAGATGGCACCATTTTCATTCTTCAAATGCTTGCCACTCCGGTCCCCCCCCTCCCCGACCCCCATCCCCCACCGCCCCGCCTTACTAGCCACGTTTTAAGTAGCAGCGGACAATAATTGCGTTATTGGTGTATCTTTGTTTTTCTTTTCTTCTTCTTTTTTAAAATCACTTCGGGGACGTCTAACAGCCCAGATATGGATCATTTTTGCTTTGGCTGAGTTAGCACTGCGTGGTCCTGTTTCCTAACAGAAGTACTACCAAGGAGTAGTTGGCACACCGGATTTTGGGGAAAAAAAAACTTCTATAAAGCTTTTCTGCTTCTACGATAATAAAACAAATCAGAAGTCAAACACTGAGTCCGGGATTAATGTTTCCTAAATTGAGCAAACTACTCATCAAATTATGCAGATACCTCCCCTGGGTGGTTAATAATGAACTTTTAAAAATTCGCTAACTCAGTTGTGATGGAAATACTGGCAAAACATTACGCCACCCCAAGAGCCCTTTCAGTACACTAACAGATGGTAGGTGTTGTCGCTCTGAAGGGACCTACACGGGACATCCGAGGAGGGACTATCAAAGGGTTGGAATCACGATGCTAGCGCCGGAGCTGAAAGATGGGGGAGTAAGCTCGCGGACATCCCGTCAAATACTGTGCTAGGCAGAGCAGGGCAGGAAGAATATGGGCCCCACGTTTGCTTTCCCAGCTCTCCATTATAAATGCGCCCCAAATAGCTGGAAAACAAGTTCCTAGGGCTTGGCTGGCGTTTACTCTGAAAACCCGCTGGGTTTTGGCCGAGCCCTCTTTGTAAACACTCACAGGAGGAGGTACGGAGTTTAGGTTTTAGGGTGTTTTAAGCCAACCCTGTATGAGGGAGACTGCCCGAGGCACTTTGTAGTAGGTGACTCTGAGCAGCATCCTAGAACTTCAGCGATGAATGACCGCCCAGACTCTGGCCCCGCCCGCTGCAGGCGCAGGTGAAGGCTGTACTCCGGTCCCCCCCACCCGGCGGTGCTGACAGGTGGTCTTGCCACGCCTCCCTGTCTCCCAGGGTGTCTAGGGCCACTGCTTCTGGCCATGAGCCACAACCGCGCGCCAGGCACAGCTTGGGATGAGGCTCCCCGAGTGCGAGGCCGGGAGACCGCAAAGCGAAGGGCATCCAGCGCCCGACTTTGGCCGAGAGTGGGCGACCAGGCACGTCCAGCCCTGCGCTGTGTTCTTCGTCGCTCTCCGACACTTTACGCGTTCCAGACCCCAGGAACCCGTCCAAACCCCCAGCGACAGTGACTCTGGGTGTCCATGGTCTACACCGGCCAGCCACCCACGGATTTCAGCAGGGCTAAAGGGTCACTGAACCTGGCGAGCCACATTCCCAAGGGCGAGCAGCGGGTGGCAGCACCGTCCCAGCTCCAGATCCGTCCGGGTCCCCTCCTGCCCCAGCTCTGGCGGCTCCTGTGCCCGGGCCGCGGTAGAACTCGCGGGTGGCAGCGGGGAGGAATTCGCCCGGACCCCTCCCCTTCTCCAAACTTCTGTGCTCCGCTCGCAGATCCTCCAATCTGTGCTCTTCCGCTCCTCCCACTGGGCTCCCTCCCCCTCTATGGTCCCGGCTTAGGAATCCGTCCCTCCCCCCAGCTCGCCGCCTGCCGGGCCCGGGGATCCTCCCCCGACTCCCCCGCGTGCCGCCGCCGCCGCCGCCCGGGTTCCTCTCCCCCCGCTCGGGCGCTCCCTGCCAAGCCCATGATGTAATGGTGTATGTTAATCAGTAGCATGTGGGGAGCTCCGGGCGGCTCAGTCCTTCGCGAGCCGACTCTGGAGGCAGCAGCGGCGGCGGCGGCGGCGGCGATAGCGCCCCGAACCTGCAGCGCCGCACTCTCCGCGCGCTGCCAGCCCCGACGGCATGGCCAGCAGCCCGCGCTCCGAGCGCCCCCAACCCCGCTGATTGCTGCCACGGCTCCGGACCCACGCGCAGGGCCCCAAGCCGCAGGATGAGCCGCGTGGAGGTGAGCGTCCCTTCGGCTGCCCTCGGCGAGGCGCTCCGCGGTCCCTCCGACCCATACCCGAGGACTTCGCGCTCCCACCCGGAACTTGTAGGCGGCAGATGTTGGGAGCGAGCGGTCCCCAGAGGGCCGGGCACTTAGTCTTTCCTCTTTGCTGCGCCACCAGAGAGCTGGGACGGGACGGTAGAGCCCCCGAACCTAACTTTCTTCTGGGCGGGGGGGAGGGGGTGCCCGAGGGCGGAATCTGTATTCCCCTCGGGGACCGCCCTGCCGCTCGGGAAAGCCGTGCTGCCGGCTCCCGCGGTCCCCGAGCAAGGCTTGCTCCCACAATTGCATCGCCTTGGGCCTGGGACCCACGGGCGAGGACACGGCCCTCAGGCTGCGGCGGGGACAGGGTGGGGGCCAGGATGCCTAAATCACACGCACGCGCGCGCGCATACACACACACACACACACACACACACACACACACACACACACCAGATTGATGCAGCCCAAGCAGACGGGGTGGGGTGGGGTGGGGGGACCTCCACGGGGGGCTGGAGCGGCGCTGGGGAGTGAGGGCTCCGACTGAGCCTTGCCGAGCTTCGGGTAGGGAGAGTTTATTTTTGTCTCGAGCTGTCGCAGCGGCTGCTCACGGCCTAAATCCAGAGGGGAGCCTGGCGGTGGAGATGCTGGCTGTTGCTGTAGATGGAGCTGCAGCCGTACGGCTGCTTCTCCGGGAGGAGGAGGAGGGAAGGGGGGGAGGAATTGGAGGAGGGAGGAGGAGAGAGGGAGGAGGAGGAGGAAGGAGAGGAGGAGGAGGAGGAGGCTGGAACCCTGGCTGCCTCTGTCACCGCCTCTGCTTTGCATTAGCCCCCACCCCACCCCCGCGCCCCTTCGCAGCCGCATTGCAAGTTTTCAGCGCGGGGAGGATCTGTTGCTGGTGCTGGCGTTCGCAGACACAGCCCGGGAGGCCACCCCGGGTGGGGCGTTCAGGGAGCACTAGCGGGTCACAGCCGCAGCAACAGGAAGCCGCGGGGGCTCCTCCCGCACCTGGGAAGGAAACTGTGCCGTAGCTCAGCTTGCACATCCGAGTGCGGAGGGGACGGCTGGAACCTGGGGGACTTGCTTCAGCGGGATACCCCCAACGTTGGCTCCCACACGCCCCCCACCGCTACGGGGCTCCCCACGATGCCCGGATCCCCTTAGACACTCTCCTCCAGGGGTCGAGGTCTCACTGCAGCTCTCTCTGTCCTTTCACTAGTGACTACCGCTTGGGAATGCGGGTGTGAAGGGTCCGAGCTGCCGCCCAGCGGGGAGGAGACCCCGGGACGCCGGAAATCACCATCCTGAAGCTACGAGGAAAGGGGAAAGAGCGTTCTTCATTCAGTTTTGTGCCTTGTGAGGGATTTATATTTTTAATCGCTATTTTTTTTTAACAAAAGAAACATCTCCGGGCTACTGTTTGTCACCGTCTCTGGGGAATCAACCAGAACCACCGGAACATAACTGAACCGAGAGAGAGAGAAAGAGAGAGAGAGAAAGAGAGAGAGAGAGGCAGGAGCCGAGTCAGTACCTGCAGCGCCCGGGCACCGGAGACCTTGGAACCAGAACGCGTCTCGGGAGGCCGCGGGGCTGCGGCTCCGCCAAACTTTGGGCAGGCAGGGGCGTCGAGGGGCTTCGTAGACGGAGGGCGGCCCCCCTAACCATGATGTTTCGCGACCAGGTTGGGGTGCTGGCGGGCTGGTTTAAGGGCTGGAACGAGTGCGAGCAGACTGTTGCGCTGCTGTCGTTGCTCAAGCGCGTGAGCCAGACCCAGGCCCGCTTCCTCCAGCTCTGCCTGGAGCACTCTCTGGCCGACTGCGCCGAGCTGCACGTCCTGGAAGGAGAGGCCAACAGCCCGGGTAAGTGCGCGGCCGCGGCTCCCGCAGCTCCCCGGGAATCCAGACTCCCCGCCTCCGGTCCGGGCCCCGCCCCCGCCCCCTCCCCCACCGGTCTCCACTCCGCGGGGACCTCATCCCCACGGGCCCCCGGGGCTCTGGGCATCTGCCTCGACCCTGGCCCCTCTTCGCCTCCTCTGTCCGCTTTGGGGCTTTGCCCATTGTGGACTCCTTAGCCCATTCCGTGTGGTAGCTACGGTAGCATGAATGATTGATTTTTCTCTCCTGCGCTTTCCTTGGAAATAAGTAAGTCAGGTCACGTAGAGTCTGGATTTTCTGCCACCCCCCCTCCCGCTCGCTCCTTTCGGGTAACGTGGCTCCTTGGCTCTCAGCAATACACCAGGAAGCTCGGGACTGCCCCTCCAGTCGCCGAGCTCAGACAGGCTGTAAGAATACCTGAAAATGCAATTTTATTATTCTTTCTCCTCCAACCCCCACGGATAGCGCTGTTTTAGAGGTTTGTCTTCCGAATAATATGTAGGTGACGCTGTAGGCTGTCAAAATGACATTTGCAGCACGGCTGTGATGTGGCTACACTTGGTCATGACGTTATCCGCATTGATAACGGATCCTGGGGGGAGAGCAAGCATGGCTTGGGCTCCACAGTGTGTGGCTTTTGTGAGGAAACTTTAAGGAACAGAACAGAATTGTTTCTTAGTAACCTTTCAGTATTTACAGCCACAGCAACTACTACAGAAAGTAAATATAGTCGGAACGTCCAGCGGTTTGCCATCTGCCATTATGGGTGGTGACAGACTCAGATTGTATCTGGAGTAAGGGGAGGCTGGAGATGGGGGAGGGAGGTGTGGGAGAGCTTGGTGATTGTGATTGGGGGGGCAGGGAAATTCTTTGGTTCTTGCTGCTGCAGGAGGGCGAACAGAGCCCCCAGTGTTTACGCAGAGTAAAGAACGCAGGGTCCTCTTCCAGCTGTTCCATGTTAGCTGTGAGTCTGCAAGACACTTGGGGGCTGGGTTGCCATTTGTTGACAAGGTCCAGTTCCCGGGCAGCGGGGATTGGAGGTTGCTGAAGTGAGTGAGCCTTTGGACAGGCAGAGAAGGGCCTGTGGCTTCCTCATTCCTCCAGCCTGATACAGCGCTTACGATGCTGAAAACACTAGAATGGATGTTTCCTTATATAGAATCACAGGCTGGAAGTGGAGCTAGAAATCCTGCAGGCCTTTGCGAGACTGCATCCAAATGATCCTGAACTGCCAAGTATGAAGGGTCATTCTGAGGGAGGACTCCGCTCAGCCCTAGTCTGGCAGCCCAGGCCAGCTCCTCAGAAGGGCACAGCGGTTGGGCCCCCTTGCTGAAGCTTGAATGCTACATTTATGAATAGCTGAAGGCCAACTTCGTTTCTAGACGCATGACTAGGGTAACTGACTATCTGCCTACCTCCCTTTGGTCCTTCATGGCAAAGCAGGGCTTTCACCTGCTTCAGCTTGCGATCTTGGACTTGGCCAACAGGGTTATGTAAACTTTTCCTTTTGTAGAATGCACAAAATCTAAGTCCAGTCATTTATGTACAATGCTTGACTCCAGGAAGCCCAGGGACAGGTTAAACTAACAATAATTTGTCTTTATGTTATTCAAATGTTGGTGCAACATTTTTTTCCCTTTGAGTAATAGTGAGGCTATTTTTCCAATATAGTAGCTATCAAGCCAGTAAGTAAGTTAAATGTATGATACTAAAAATAATTTGTTATAATTTAACAAACAAAAATATTGAAATTTTGTAATTTTCTCTCTTAAACTTAAAGATACCTATTTATGTAAAATACCAATCAATTTGTGTGGCTAAATGATGTAGAAATATAAAATATGAAACCATTACAATGATAGGAACCATTTTCCAGCTTATGGATTAATCTTTCAATCTAAATATTCTTCCCACATGGAAGCCTTTTGTACTTGTTCTTCAGCGTGGCCGAGTTGTTGTGGGAGCTGGTGGTTTACAGTCCGAGGGTGGAGAGCTTAAGAGTGCATCCAGATGTGTCCTAGCCAACCTGTTGCACTTCTCTGCTTATCTGGAATCTAGCCAAGGACCAGGAAGTGAGCAAAAAAACCTGCTTAGCAACCAGAGAAGAAGTTATAAAATACATAGAAAACTTGACTTTCTCGGAACACACTACTTTCCTAGATTCAATCTTTTTTCTTCCTATGTAGAACCCTACACAGTCCAGCTTGGCCTCAAACTTGCTATGTAGGCGCCTTGAACTTCTGAACTCCCTGAAGGCTGAGGTCAGAGGTGTATGACATCACACTGGTGTATGTGGTGCTGGGGGAATTGAACTCAGGGCCTTGTGTGGGGGAAGCAAGCACTCTATCAAACGGAGTTACATCCCCGGGTGCATACAACCCTTAAGACATCTTAAGCAATAGTCCACATAGTTACATACTTAGAAGAGGGTGAGAAGTTTCTGTAATCATCAGTGAAGAGTGACGCCAAATGACATGGCATCTAGGAAAGACAGAAAAACTGTTAACTCTAGACTCGAGAATTGGATCAAAAGCCCTGAAGTCTTGGGACTAATATGATAGGTACTCCTAACTGACTCTACAGTCATCTCTATATAAGAGTATAAACGAATGACTGCTGTCTCCTGGTGATAGCAGCCAAGTACCAAAAGGTATCTTTGAAAGGGAGCTCTTGGACCCCAGACTGATGGCCAGCATGGGACTGAGCCAGACCCCCTGAATGTGGTGTCAGTGAGAAGGCCTCAGCAATGTCTGGGGGCTTGGGTAGTGGACCAATATTTATCCCTGGCACACAAATGGACTTCGGGTGCCTATCCCACAATAAGGGATGCTCTCTCAGCCTGGACTCTTGGGAGAAGGCCTAGGCCCTGCCTTGAATGAAATGACAGACTCTGGAGATCTCCCATGGAGGGCCTCACCCTCCCTGAGGAAGGGAGTAGGGATTGGGTGGGGGGCTGGGAGGGCTGATGGGGGACTGGGGGAGGAGGGGAGGGAGAGGGAGCTGGGATTGACATGTGAAACAAGCTTGTTTCTAATTTAAATTAAAAGAATAATAAAAAATGCATTCTTTAAGAAGACAAGAAAATGTCTAGCACACATGGAGAACATTTATACCTGAGGTAACTAACCTCAAAACTGTTCTGGTGTGTCCCAGCAATTCAGAGAGCTAGGCTGTGCAGAATGACTCATTCATTGAGTGGATGAGATTTCTCATACCCTAGTCATCCCGTGTCGTTTATTTTGTATTCAGCAATTAAAATATACACACATCTCTTTTCATGCTTGGAGATTTTAAAACTGGGTAGATGAGGATCAAAGTTGTATCTGGGGCTTTATTTTATTATCATAAGGAAAAATCACTACTATGAACTGATTTTAAATAGGGTGCACATTGAACATGGATCATTGGAGATCGGTGGGATGAGCTTTGACACTCGTTTTTCATTTCCTTAATCTTAATGGCTGGGCAGTGGTGGCACACACCTTTAATCCTAGCACTTGGGAAGCAGAGGCAGATGCTTCTCTGTAAGTTCCAGGGTCTACAGAGCAATCCCATGACAGCCAAGGCTACATAAAGAAACCCTGTCTTGAAAAACCAAGGGAAAATAATAATCTAGTGATTCACTGATTTATTCTTTGCCTCAGGTTCGTAACCATCGGGGACCCAAAGAAGTAGTTGACTCAGTTTCTACTACGGCTTTGATGTGGAATGTCCCCAAAAGTCTGTGTTAAAACCTTGATTTCTAGCCTTATAAAATATTGCAAGGTGGTGGAATCCCTAAGATCATGGAGGGTGTCTGTTGGGAGAAACTAGTGGGTTCGCCCCTTCCTGTTCCCTTTGACTCTTCTGCCTGAGGTGAATGAGTAATGGGCCAAGGCAACAGGCTCAACTGTTTATGGACTGAAGCCTCCAACACTGTGAGCCCAAACCTTTTCTCTTCATAAGCTGATCACGGCAGGCATTTGATACAGTCACAGAAGCTGAGTCACGCAGTTTCCCCTGTATTCGTGTAACTGTTTTACCTCTGTATTCCAGACTTAGTCAAGGATGGTAGTTACACCCCCTCGAAGTAACAGCTTGTTTCCAGAACCCTCATGACCTTAAATGACAGCTCAGTGCGAGCCATTCCAGGTTCACATTGTGACTTTGCTGGTCTGCGCTTGTACTAACAGTTCCGGGACTAGCAGGTGCTTCAGTGCTAACATAATGGCAAAAGAGAAAGTCTACACCTCCACTCAAAGTGTTGCAAAGAATAATTGATCGTGTGGCACTGGGCATGACTCTGTCATTTGTCCCTGAATTACGTGTTGTCGGTGGAGAGTGTATAAGTCAAGATCCACAAGCTGATCCATATAGACTTTTAACTACAAATAGCACTTATTTCGAGGGGAACTGGGTGTTTATAGCAAGTTAATGCCGAACGAGAGATTGCTGCTTACCCATAATGAAATACTGGACTGAAGTGGGGGCGCCTGAGACAAGAATGACTGGAAGTTGGAGGACACTAGGGGACATCTGCTTCCATTGGTTGGCGAAGGTGCTGGCAGTCCTGTGGGTTTCATGGCTTTGGGGTCCTGCAGGACTGGTGTGCTGTTTTGTATCCTCAGCTGATTTTTTTTTAGATCGCAAATGGAGTAAAAAAGAGAACAGCAGAGAAGATTTTCTTGGTGATATGATAAAATATCATTTGTAGTTTTTTTTTCATTCATTTATTCACCCAACAAACACTTTCTGACTGCCTACTACTTCTCTGGAATACAGAGATAACGCATTGTATTCCAGTGACTGGTACATGATAGCTGTTTTCAGTGTTGAGTGAGTAACCCGTTTACTGACGGTGCCGAGACCTAGGTGTGGTCGTCAAACATGTGGAAGGAGGCGTATGGAGAGGCAGTGTGCACACAGCGGCCAGTTGTTCGGGCAAAGGTAGGGAAGACCTCATTGAGGAGAATAAGTATTGAGGTGAATCTCAAGTGGTGGCTGTG